CCCTAGTCCCTGCATCTTCTAAACTTTCTGCTTACTCACTGCTTCAGTTACAGCAGCTTTCTTGCTGTTCCTGGGAAAAGCCAGAGATACCTGGGTCTTTTCAATGGCTTTCCCTCTGTCTGGAGTGCCTTATCCCAGATACTCACCTGATTTGCTCCCTCCCCTTCTTTATATCTTTACTCAAATATCACCTTCGCTCACCACTTTCTACACCCCCTACCTGCTAAATCCTCATCTCTTGCCCTGCTTTGTTTTTCACTAGTATATACTATATGCTTTTACTTACTTATTTTATTGTCTATCTCATTAGAATGTAAGCTCAATGAGGTCTAGGATTTTTGTATTGTTTTGTACTATGTTGGAGGGCTTGGTGCCTCTTTTTATAATTATGATTTACTACTGTGGTTTCTTTATAATAAAGATGAATACCTTTTCTTATTTTGGAGCATTATCAAGCTTACATACATGCACACAAACAAATGCCAGTAAATCACCAGGAAGAAACAGTAAATGCTTTCAAACAAACCCTTAATTAAGAGTATCCCCCATAGGAGCGTATAGTAGTCTGAGTGCTGGCACATAGCAGTAGTTGTTCAATAAAATTTTGTTGAATAAGTTGATGAATCATGTTTAATGTATATATACAAAGGGCAAATAGAGTGTACATCTCTTTTGAAATTCCTAAAATGTAATTTGATAATACACATCAGAAGTCTTAAATATAGGCTTAATAATTTCACTCCTAGAAATTTATCAGAGCAGGATTTCCCTAATATAAAGGAAACATTGTTCCAGCATATTAATAGGTATTTAGAAAACAAAGAGAATTATTTTAAAAAAACCTCTTGCTGGGCACAGTGTTTCAAGCCTGTAATCCCAGCACTTTGGGAGGCCGAGGCGGGTGGATCACGAGGTCAAGAGATCGAGACCATCCTGGTCAACATGGTGAAACCCCGTCTCTACTAAAAATACAAAAAAATTAGCTGGGCATGGTGGCACGTGCCTGTAATCCCAGCTACTCAGGAGGCTGAGGCAGGAGAATTGCCTGAACCCAGGAGGCGGAGGTTGCGGTGAGCCGAGATCGCGCCATTGCACTCCAGCCTGGGTAACAGGAGCGAAACTCCGTCTCAAAAAAAAAAAAAAAAAAAACACCTCTTAGCCTCCTGTGGTTTTCAGAGTTGGTTGCACACTGCCATTACTGAGGGAGTTTTAAAATATGTTGATGACCAAGTCCCACCTTCAGAGATATTGATTTGTTTTGGAATGGTTCTCTCTCTTTTTGTGATATTAGCAGCCTTTGGTGAAATTACTGAGATCCATTAGTTCATTAGGGGCTATAGGTGGTAATCTTGTTAACATCTCTGGGCTTGTATTTTTTTTCATACACAATGTGAAAGGGTTAGTGTACATTACCTGTAAGCATCCTTCCAACTCGGATATGCTATGCTCCTATGGGTAATACCCTTAATGAGGGATTTGTTTGAAAGCATTTACTGTTTCTTCCTGCTGATTTACTGCTGCGTGTTTGCATGTATATATGTGAGTTTGATAATGCTCCAAAATAAGAGAGCGCACTAAATATACAAAAAGTTAGCCAGGCGTGGTGGCGGGCGCTTGTAATCCCAGATACTCAGGAGGCTGAGGCAGGAGAATCGCTAGAACCTGGGAGGTGGAGGTTGCAGTGAGCCAAGATTGCGCTATTGCACTCGAGTGGGCAACAAGAGCGAAACTGCATCTAAAAAAATAAATAAATAAAAAAGAAAAGGCGCGGGGCGCGGTGGCTCAAGCCTGTAATCCCAGCACTTTGGGAGGCTGAGGCGGGTGGATCACGAGGTCAGGAGATTGAGACCATCCTGGTCAACACGGTGAAATCCCGTCTCTACTAAAAATACAAAAAATTAGCTGGGCATGGTGGCGCGTGCCTGTAATCCCAGCTACTCAGGAGGCTGAGGCAGGAGAATTGCCTGAACCCAGGAGGCGGAGGTTGTGGTGAGCTGAGATAGTGTCATTGCACTCCAGCCTGGGTAACAAGAGCAAAACTCTGTCTCAAAAAAAAAAAAAGAAAGAAAGAAAAGAAAAAGTTAGTACACGAAACAGGCAGGTTATTTTGAAATCTAAGCTCCATAACTTCTTATAAAATGACATGAATCACTTCACATATATTAAGTAACACATCAAAAAGTGTAAATCAGGCCATGCCTTGTGGCTCATGCCTGTAACCCCAACATTTTGGAAGACTGAGATGGGAGGATTGCTTGAGATCAGGAGTTTGAGCAACACAGTGTGATTCCATCTCTACAAAAAATAAAACAATTAGCCAAGTATGGTGGTGCACAGCTGTAGTCCCAGCTACTCTGGAGGCGGAAGTTGGAGGATCACAAGCAGAGGAGTTCCAGGTTACAGTGAGCTACAGGTGGCGCCACCGCATCTGGCCCCAGTTGGTGCCAGAGTGAGACTTTGTCTCTAAAACAAACAACAAAAACACCCAAAAAAGTATAAAGTGCTTATAAGTGTAAAATGCTTGGCTCATAGCAAATGTTCAGTGTAATAGCATTTATCACTATAGGCATGATTTGTGTGGCTACTGTTGCAATCATTACTAAACATTACTTCTGAGTCTTTTGATTAAATTGTTTTAGGAAGATCAAGAAAAGACCAATTGTTTGGGTTTTTCTTTTCTGAGTTGCCAATTATGTTACAAAGTGGATTGTATCTGTCAGGTGAGCACACTGTTCTTCTTAATTTTTAAAATTGTTTCACTATACAAGCTATTTATAATTAAACAGTACTTGGTACAAACAACTGTTTCACTGATGTTGTAATAGTTTTTTTTGTTTGTTTGTTTGCTTTTTGAGATTGAGTTTTGCTCTTGTTACCCAGGCTGGAGTGCAATGGCAGGATCTCGGCTCACCGCAACCTCCACCTCCTGAGTTCAGACAATTCTCCTGTTTCAGCCTCCTTAGTAGCTGGGATTACAGGCACGTGCCACCATGCCCAGCTAATTTTTTGTATTTTTAGTAGAGACGGGGTTTCACTATGTTGACCGGGATGGTCTCGATCTCTTGACCTCGTGATCCACCCGCTTTGGCCTCCCAAAGTGCTGGGATTACAGGCTTGAGCCACCGCGCCCGGCCGTTGTAATAGTTTTAAATAGATGGATACTGCAAACAAAGTGAAATAATTTTGGTAATTCCAGAAACCAAAACCTGGGAGTGAGCATGAGTACTGAGTGCTGGGTAAAATCTACAACAAAACCTTTATCAATGAGGAGCACGATAACAGAACCTTCTATGTTCAGAATTCTAATGGACGCCCTTCTGTATTATACTGGATCTCACCAAGTATCTTTACACAAAATCGTGGTTTTGAGGTTCTGGGCATAAAGTAGAAGAATCTGTCATCTCAGAGTAAGCTTAGGTTCAGGCTGTGAAAAATGAAGGCTTGAAGAACAACAGCCTTAGAGAAAAGAAGACCATGAAATAACCTTGTGCATATATTAAAGAACCAGCAATATAATCATTATGACCTAAATGGATAGACTGAATGGCAGATCTATTTCACTGAATGGTAATATAAGGAAAGATATCTGCATAGAAATAATTGTTCTTCTTGACACCTTCTTTTTCTTTTTATTAACCACACCTTTGGGAGTGATTTAGAGGTACCTGAAACCAACTAGTCTGGGCTGAAGTGTGTTTCTCAAGGCTGTCTTTCGTTTTGGTTAATGGGAAACCATATGGTTGCCATTTCCTTTCTGAGAACTGCTGAGTTAGTAGGGAAGGAAGTAGATGTTCAGCTGAGTTCTGGCCTGTGGGGGAAGGGAAGGGCTGAGCCACAGCTCAGAGAACCAGCTTCTGCTTTTGTGAGGTTTAATTTTCTGTGTCCGATTCCTTTTTATAAAATGTCCATATAATTAGTGTAAACAGCTCTACCTAATCCCTTCTCTGGGGGCAAATGATTGCTGAGTGGCAAAGTTTCTTTGCCCAAACTATGGGCCGTAACTTAACATTCTTAATTGGTTTCCTGTCTATTCTTAATCTTTCGAAGATTTTGTCAAACCTTAAAAAAAAAAAAAAAAAAAAGAAAAAGAAAAAAAGAACCTGCTTTAAATATTGCTTCTGTGAGAATATTTTGCCTGTGTAAGAAAATACAGCTTTGAGGCCAGTCGCGGTGGCTCACACCTGTAATCCCAGCACTTTGGGAGGCCGAGATAGGCGGATCACAGGGTCAGGAGATCAAGAGACCAGCCTGGTCAACACGGTGAAATCCCGTCTCTACTAAAAATACAAAAATTGGCATGTTGGCACGTGCCTGTAGTCCCAGCTACTCGGGAGGCTGAGGTAGGAGAATCACTTGAACACGGGAGGCGGAGGTTACAGTGGGTCAAGATCGCGCCACTGCACTCCAGCCCAGGCTACAGAGCAAGACTCCGTCTCAAAACAAAAAAGAAAATAAAATACAGCTTTGAGTACAATGCAGTTGATGTGTTACTCCTGCCAGATAACCATGGTAGAATCAGAGTTTCTGATCTGGATTGGGATTGAGGTTGGATGCTGGCACTGCCATTAACTGGCATGTTTCATCATTTGTTTTATTTGATGTTGAAATCATGCTTATCGTTTTATTTTACACCACTTTCCAGCATGACATCAGTGTTTCTGGCACCATGGGCTTTATTAGTTCATGAAATGGAAGCTTCTGTTTCCTTAAAAATGCCTTGACTCTCTTGGTAATGTGATAATTTTTGCAACTCTTTCTAGGGCTATAGTATCTATGCTGTTTATTTGCAAATATTGGGGAACTGGTGGTTGATCTAAAACTACTCATAAAGAATGGGGGAAAAATTAAGGCTTCTGACACTTTCCCCAACATTTCTGTTACCTCCACCAAGAGTTAACTAGATGATTCTTTAATGCCTTACTTTATCCTAATGCTATTTTATTTCTTCAGTCTGTTTTGGACTCATAATTACACCACTGCAAGTTAAGTCCAAACATTACCTTTAGGCTGGAGAGCTCTGGGGTCAAGATTGACTAGATTTAAAATCCAGTTCGGCCATTCTCTAGCTATGTATGCTCTGGTGAGTTTCATCACCTGTAAAACGCGAATTAAAAAGGGAAAAATACTGAGTTTCTACTATTTGCTAGGCACTAGTTGGACAACTTATGATCCATTTAATCAATCCTCTGCGAGGCAGGGATCCCCATTTTATGATGTATAAAAAATCCTAAGAAAAGCCAATTGTCCTAAAGGTCTCACAAGTAAATAGCTGGAGCCTAGGTTTGTCTCTAAAGCACATGCTCTTTTCACCACACGACATAAAGAAAACTTTATTGATTTTTCAGATTATAATGTTTTAAGGGTTTCCACTGCTGTTGAATAATTAATTCCTTGTAGATGTACAAAAACAAGTGCAAAAGAAAAGCAAAATGGGGAAGGTGTGTGATCTGAGAGGGAGGAGGTAAGGAAAAATGAGAAGCCTGCAAAGGAACTGACGTGTCTGTCCGCTTAGTGTCACAGTGGAAGGCCAGGTCCCACATTTGTGTTGCAGTCCTGCCTGCTCACGGGTTGCTGGGTGACTTTCTGTAAATTACCTCATCTTTCCGGATTTCAACTTAAGTACGCCTGAAACGAGGCGGCTGAATTGCCCTCCCAATTCCTTTCTGGTGCTAAACTTCCAGCCTCGTAGCCACGGACCCCCTCACCATCCCAGCCCGCTTTCCCTGGGTCCCGGACCGGCCGCCCCTGCCCGAACCCGATTCCTCCTCATCTGCGCACTTCTGACGTACTCACAGGTTCTCAACTCCACCGTTCCCCGTGACCGCGGGACTAAACGACCCGGTAGGGGCTCAACTCACAGCAAAAAAAGGCAAGAAAACTCGAAAGTTGGACACTGAGAGGCAGAAGCCCGCAGCAGGAAGGCGAGGCGGGACAGAACTGACGGCGCGCGGCGGCGGCCCAAGTGGGCGGAGAGCGGGCGGGGAGAGGCGGGGCCGAGAGCCACAGGCAGGGCGCGGGGGCGGGCGCCGCGCGGCGGCCGGCGGAGGAGCAGGGACGCTCCCGGGCTGCGGCGGCAGGCTCCCGCCCCTGCGCTGCCCTTTCCCCGCCGCAGGCGGGCGTGGCGGCGGGTGTGCCGACGCGGCGTGACATCACAAGGGGCGGGCCGGGCCGGGGGTCTAGACGGCGCGCGGGCGCGTTCGTCAGTCGCTGTTCGGGACGCCGGGCGTACGGGGTTCTGTCTCCGCTCCCGTTTCGCAGTCACAGCCAGTTCCTTCCCGGAGCCCGGGACGGGCCGGGCGCGCACCCGTGTGAGTGAGCGGGACTCAGGGCACAAGTGTCCCCTCACTGCGTTTTTTTCTTCCTTTTATCCAAAGAACTGGGCAGTTCGCACGCTTGCCTTCCTGTCGCCCGACTGGGAGCGGGGTTGGTGTGCGGAGTGGTTCGCCTTTTTTTCTTTTGAACTTGTGAGCGCTTTTTTTTTTTTCTTTTTCTTTTTTTAGGCTCAGTGCGGTCCGGGCTGGTTTCCCCGGTCCCTGACTAACCGCTTTCTGCCCCTTCTCTCGCCACCCCTGCCCAAGGTCGCCCCTCTGCCCTCGCCCCTGGCCCGGGAGGGTGGGAAGCTTTGACCCCGCCCTGCCCACTTGCGTCTCCGCAGCCGTAGCCGCACCTGCCCCCAATATGAATAGGGTCAACGACCCACCTATTTTTATAAGAGATATTAAGCCCGGACTGAAAAACTTAAGTGTCGTCTTTATTGTCCTGGAGATAGGTAAGTGGGGTTTGCAGCCCACTCCACCGCCCGCTGTGCGTCCCGGGGCGGGAGACAGGGGCGCCGCCGCTGCGCGCCGAGGGCTCCCCTCCCCCCCCCCCTCCACCCTGCCCCTACCCACGTGGCTCCAGTGGCCTCTTCCCGAGATCCGATCCTACCTGAGGCGAGAGCCCTGGTCACTTCCCACCCTCCAGATGTATTAAAACACCGGAAAAGGACTTAGCCTTTCTGGATGTCCTCATTATCTAACACCCGCTCCCTTTGATTTTTAAATCCTCACAGGACGCGTGACCAAAACCAAAGACGGCCATGAAGTGAGATCGTGCAAAGTAGCAGATAAAACGGGCAGCATCACTATTTCCGTGTGGGATGAGATCGGAAGTCTTATCCAGCCAGGGGATATTATTCGGTTGACCAGAGGGTAGGTGTGCAAAAAAGTCGGGGGACATAACAGTCTGCACAATCGGGGTTGGTCGGCTCCAGGGATCTTGCCAAACCCTGAAATTCCCCGCTTTTTATGCGGGCCACTCCTTTGGTGTTAACTTTGGATGGTGGGCAGCGCTAGGATGTAACACACCTTTGCAGTGAAAGCCAGTCGGTTTCAGACGGGAAATCTACGCCTCTACCCCGGTTTACAGGTTAAGCAGATTTTTTAATTCTTTTTTTTTTTTTTTTTTTTTTTTTTTTTTTTTTTTTGAGACAGTGTCTCGATGTGTCTCCCAAGCTGGAGTTCAGTGGCGCTATCCCGGGCCGCTGCAGCCTCTGCCTCCCGGGTTCAAGCGATTCTCGTGCCTTAGCCTCCCAGGTAGCTGGGACTACAGGCGTACGCCACCACACCGGCTAAGTTGTGTATTTTTAGTAGAAACTAGGTTTTACCATGTTGGCCAGGCTGGTGTCCAACTTCTGACTTCAAATGATCCGGGGCCTCGGCCTCTCACAGTGGTTTAATTACAGGCGTGAGCTACCATGCCCAACATAGATTTTTAATTCTCTTGAGTCAATGAGTCTTTCTAGGAGATTGATATAGTGCATATTTTTTTTTAATATGTTATTTTCGCTACTCATTCGTTTCCCACCCCATCTCTATTTTTAATGACTTGAAATCCTGGCCAGTGTTTTATTTATGTTACCTAGACAATGTGGACATAAAATTATAGGTAAAGGATTTAGTATTTTCTGTGATATGTCAAATTTGTACTTGGAGAAAGAGGGAAAGTTTACAGTATCTGGAAGGCTCATTCTCCAAAATGATTTCTTGTGTCTTCTGTTGTAAGGTGGATGTTGTGCAAAACCCAAAAGGATACACAGAAAATGTTTGGCAGAAAGACATCTGCAGTACCTTCATCCGAAAGAGTCAGTTGGCAGATTGGTGACTTTAAAAAATAGTTTACAAAAAAAAAAAAGACTTTTTTTTTTTTTTTTTTGAAAAATAGATTGCTTTTAGAAATTTACCAAATGTTTACCTTAGGAAGATAAAAGGTCAGAAAAGAGTCTTGAAAACAGAATTTGAAAGCTTTTGAGATCAATAAAATTGTAATAATTTATCAAAACTGCTGGGAAAGTGGTGGAGAATGATGTTGGCGTAATAAGTAGAATCTCAGAAGTATTGGAAGGCACTGAGAGTATGAGCTTAGACCTCCTTGTTGTTACCTTACAGGCCTTACAACATCTTCAGGAAGTGAGGTAAAGTGTCATCAAAGCAGGAAGTGAGAATCAGGACTTAGACATTTTGTTCTCATACACTGACTCATGACAGTAATTATGTTTTTTAAACTTCCACATCTTTAAAAAGAAAAAGAGAATTCCTACTTTGGGAGGTATGGTGAGGATTGATTACTATAGTTGGAGATTCTGGCTCCCCAAATATCTTTCATCCAATGATTTAGAGTATTTTTATGCAAAAACAGCATAAAGTATTTCAAGTATTTCATGTTCTGTAGTCACAGTTGTAGGTGTTTCTATCAAAAAAATTATTGGAAAATTAAACTAGTTACTGTATCTATAGAATTTTAAGGAGAACAATTACCTGGGAGTACAATTTAAAGGAAAATTCAAAACTAACTACTTCAGTATGACCTTGAGAAGTTACTATACCTCATACTTCAGCTTCCCCTTCTGTGAAATGGGAATATACCTTATTTACTAAAATAACACACTCAGCTTGGAGTCTGGCCCATTCTAAGGCCCTTAAATTCTACTTGAATCTAAGAAAAGTAGCTTTGAAGAAAAACACACTTAACATCTAAATAATGCTTAGTTCAAATATCAACATGCATATCGGAGTCCCGTACAAACTTACCTCAGTATTCTCATTCCTTAAAGTGAATGTTAAATATTTTAATTGTAACCATTCAAATTTTTCTCAAAATATGCATTAATTTTTATTTTAGTAAGGTGAAATGTTAATGCACTGTCTCCTAAGCCACTGTTTGTATAACTTAAGAGTGGTGAATGGTGTCTTTAATAAATAACCCTTATTAAAATAAAGAGAACTGTATAATAAGTTAGTCATGAAGTCACCATAGTCGTTATACAAAGAACCATTATAACCAAACCTTTATTGATTTTATAATATTAACTTACCTTTTTTTTTTTTTTTTTTTTTAAAGATATCTGGGATTATTTTATTTAGTGATGCTGTCTGCTTTCAGTGTTGTTGGAGTAAACAGTTGCCAGCTTGTTTACTACAAAGCCAACGTTGTATTAAAAATTGCATGTTTGGAAAGGCAGATAGGTCAAAGATTTGTGACTAGTTTTTTTATTTAGCACTTTAAAATTCTACCAGATCTTTGGTAGAATAGGAATCCTGTGTCTTTTATGAAACTGTTGTATCGGTATTTGACTAGACGGGAAATGCCTGTAAAAGCATTAGGGTGTGGCCGGGCGCGGTGGCTCAAGCCTGTAATACCAGCACTTTGGGAGGCCGAGGCGGGTGGATCACAAGGTCAAGAGATCGAGACCATCTTGGTCAACAAGGTGAAACCCCGTCTCTACTAAAAATATAAAGAAAAAAAATTAGCTGGGCATGGTGGCTCGTGCCTGTAATCCCAGCTACTCAGGAGGCTGAGGCAGGAGAATTGCCTGAACCCAGGAGGCGGAGGTTGCGATGAGCCGTGATCGTGCCATTGCACTCCAGCATGGGTAACAAGAGCGAAACGCCGTCTCAAAAAACAAAACAAAACAAAACAAAAACAAACAAACAAAAAACATTAGGGTGTTTACATATCCTGTGGCTGAAAAATAGTTTGTTTAAATTTCTGCAATTAAGAGCCTTTCTTTTGTTAATTGACTAAAATTAACTAAATCATTGGGTATAATAATGCTTGCTTTGCAAAGAGACTTATTTTTTAGGGTTTGTTATAATTTAGATAATTATGTCAAAATTCAACAGAAGTTTTGTATTCTTCTGTAAATAGCCAGTTATCAAAGTTAGATTTATTGTATTTAATTTACTATGGTGGACAGAGACGGCTTGATCTTCACTTCCACCTTAAAAAATATATATATATATATAGTGTGAAGATTTACTTGATTTAAATAGAAGAAAATAAACATATTTCTAAAGAACGTTTATTTTTTCTCTAGATATGCATCCATGTGGAAAGGATGTCTGACACTTTATACTGGAAGAGGTGGTGAACTTCAAAAAATTGGGGAGTAAGTATTAAAATGCTTTTGTATAATCACATACATTATAAATAATATCTATGGAATAATTGGTAGGTATAAACTGTAAACCTCTTCCTTGGCTTTTTTGACTAGTAAACTGAATGTTTTTGGTAGCTTAATTGAAAAAATAACTCTGTGTGTACAAGTCTAACACTTGTTAGTAGTGTTTTCTATGGTTGAAAGTGTCAATTTTTCCTGGCAAAGAGCAGTTGAGGAAGCTGCCATTGAGACCAGCCCTAGTGGGAGCATTTCTGAAGGCTTTAGAAATGTGCATTTTTACGTGTCACCAGTGCCATTTGAAGTAGATTCTCTCTTCTAGTGATTCACCAAATACAAAGCGTTGACTCACCAAGTTTCAGGCCATAAGTGGAAATTTTCTTTTTCTGTGGTTATGGGTGAATATGTACTCATGATAAAAGGACTTGCAGCGATGAAAACTGAAGTCCTCTATTTATCCACAGTCTAGGTGCGGTGCAGGCAGCCGCAATGCGAGATTCCATACACTACTACCCTGGTAATGATCTCCACCCTGACCTGGAGGAGCCATCCTCTCTAGGGGTGTAAGGTAATTCAGCCTCCATGTTAGCCTAGACATTGGGTTGTATTCATAAAGGACGGTATAGGTGATGAGCCAAATCATCAGTCCATTCTGTTTGGTTAATGCTCAGCCATCTACTTAATGCCCGTCAAATTGGAAGATATTTAAAGAGAGAAGCCACAAATGGCACCAAATAAAAAAGGAAAACTTTTTTTTTTTTTTTTGCACTGAGGGAATACAATACTTATTTGGAGAACCTGTGGCTAACAATAAAGGAAAAGAAATGATCATGCTGGGTTTTAAAGATCAGAAACATTTAACACTTTGCCTTTGTTAGAGGGAAAGTTAGGATTCACTCTGAGTAGTATTAATGGGGTTATGTGTTATGAAACGTCTGTTACTGAAAGGTTCAGGATTCTGTGCTGACCTTCCTGTATTTGTACAGAGGTGTTGATAATAATGGAGGTTAGTTATGTGAAGAACCATTAGAGGTAACTCATTTCTTAATAGCTGCTCTTTGTCAGGGTCAGTCTAGGATTTACCCAAACTGGTTCTGATTTGTCTTCTTCGGTAGGGTGAGGAGCTAATAAAATGCTTCTGTGTAATGTTCTTACACATCATATGGCCAACTTACAAGAAGCCCTTGGATAAACTGGTGACTGTGTAACCTGTTGTTTTTATTTATTGTCTAGAAACCACTCTTAACCCTAAATGATTATCTTTGCAGATCCACAGTGATTGATCAAAAGAGAGACTGAATGGGAGTGGGTGATGGATAGATGCAAATCCATTACCACTGCTGGAGAAACCATCCTGGAACCCTAAACATGGTTCACTCTCATGTTATTTTTCCTTTGATCAACTTTTGTGGAAAAATGGGACAGAGATGTGTTTGTGCCCTTGAGTTTTTATGTATCCTGTAGACAGTCAAATATTTGATGTTTTTATGGGACATAATTGTTTAGGAAGTTTTTGTTGTAAATGAAGAGTTAGTTTGTTGCTCTTAATTTGTTTGACACATAAGTTCTTCAGTCCTAAAAGTTGGAGATGTTATATAAAGAAGGGTTGGTTACTTTATTTCAGAAGTGATTTAATTTGTTCTTTATTTTCTTTCAGATTTTGTATGGTTTATTCAGAAGTGCCAAATTTCAGTGAACCCAACGCAGATTATCGAGGACATCAGAACAAAGGGGTAATTGTGTGTACTTTTATGATTAAGCTAACTTTTGACAGTGTTATAATTCTATGACTAGGCTAGTCCTGTTGATAGTATAATGAAGAGAATTTTTAAAATAATTTTTATTGGATGTTTTGTGAGTACATGTATCTGAGCTGTCATCTACTAGATACATATATGCCATTTAGCACTTTGAGGAATGGTAAGTTATTATCAGGAAATAGAATGTAACAGAGCTCTGAAATATTTGGAAGACATTTAACATTTTAACCTTGAAGGACCTAGGAAAAATCTTGTAAAAATTTGTTAATTAAAAAAATCCAAAACTTTAAAAAAGAAAGGATATAATAATGTTGTAATAATGTAATTGTGTTTTTATTCTCACTTGGTTAAATTAAAACTTTTTTTTAGGCACAGAGTGAACAGAAGAATAATTCCATGAATAGTAATATGGGTACAGGTACATTTGGACCAGTGGGTAAGATTTTGTTTGTGTGTTTCATTTGTGATCAGGTGTAAGAATTAAGAGAGTTATAAAGATTCAGATAAAAAATGTCTTTAGGCATAAATTAGTGATAAAGGTGAACTACCACTAAACAGGGAATCCCCGAATGGTTGATTTTCTAGAAAGCCAGTAGACTCTTAAGCCAGTTTATTGAGAATTCTTAAGTTTTGGTGATGTCTGTGAAGAGATACCATGTTATTTTTTCTAAAATTGATTTCTACAGAATTTCTGTAATCTAGTGAGTACTTATAGTAAATGCAGAATTGCTGGTTATTTTGGTGCACTGAAAGCCTTTATCTTTAGAGTCATAGTTCACCTTAATTTTTCATGTACTAGGAGCTGCTGCTTTAAAAGATGAGCCGAGCCCTTAAAAGGCTAGTGACCCTCAAATGTCATTTAACATGACCCCTAGATGTCATGTTCATGGTCCTTGTAGCCCTGTTAAAGATCTTTTGAAGTCTTTTTTTTTTTTTTTTTTTTTTGAGACGGAGTTTTCGCTCTTGTTACCTAGGCTGGAGTGCAATGGCGCGATCTCGGCTCAACGCAACCTCCACTTCCTGGGTTCAGGCAATTCTCCTGCCTCAGCCTCCTAAGTAGCTGGGATTACAGGCACACGCCACCAAGCCCAGCTAGTTTTTTTGTATTTTTAGTAGAGACGGGGTTTCACCATGTTGACCAGGATGGTCTTGATCTCTCGACCTCGTGATCCACCCACCTCGGCCTCCCAAAGTGCCGGGATTACAGGCTTGAGCCACCGCGCCCGGCAGGAGGAGTCTTTTGTGATTGAAATTCATTAGGATGGCTCATGTTTTGGTTTTGGTTTTGTTTTTGAGACAGGGTCTCACTCTGTCGCCCAGACTGGAGTGCAGTGGTCTGATCTCAGCTCAGTGCAACCTCCACCTCCCCAGGCTCAAGCAATTCTCCTGCCTCAGCTTTTTCAGTAGCTGGGATTACAGACGTGTGCCATTCCTGCTCCGATTTTTGTGTTTTTGATAGAGATGGGATTTCACCATATGAGCCAGGCTGGTCTCGAACTCCTGACCCCAAATGATCCACCCACCTCGGCCTCCCAAAGTGCTGGGATTACAGGCGTGAGCGATTGCCCCTGGCCAGCTAATGTTTTATTTGACTTGAAGGCTACGCGTCTTAGCACAGCTGATCACAGTGTGGGAAACGCTGTCTTTCCCTTTAAAAAGTTAGAATAACATTGTCTGTTTTGAAATATTCATCATATTTGAGCCAAATTCCAATACTCAAGACACTATTTTGTGTTTTTCTTTTATAGTGTAGGCAATGCATTTTTAAACTCTGTTTCTAATTTTGATGCCCAAGTTGACTTTTTCCTCTCTATTAATACAGCATCAAATTAACTAACATATCTATAGCAATACATTAGGAAAAACTTAGAGCCCACATTGAGTGTTTTGTTTTGTTTGGTTTCAGTATAAAAATAAAAGTGTGTGCTTCACCTAGTGTTTTTAAGCATTAATAACGTGTTGGAACTTAAGATAGTTGTACTTCTATAGATGACTGTGGACTGCTTCTGCAAACAGTGATGGATTTTTGTATTCTTTTTTAGGAAATGGTGTTCACACTGGCCCTGAATCCAGGGGACACCAGTTTTCACATGCTGGCAGAAGCAATGGCTGGGGACTTAGAAATCCACAACTACCAGGAACAGCTAATAATCAAACAGTGATGACCCCAATAAGTAATGGCAGGGACCCTCGGAGAGCCTTTAAAAGATGACCTAGGCCCAGTACTCACATGTAGTTTTTATACTACATGCCCTACTTGAACACTTACTGCACTTTTATTTATTGTTAACTGTGAAAAGTATGTCCTTTATTGGATTTCCTTTTGTATTCTTGGTTTGTTAAGAAGAATGGTTTGTTTTTATAGCAAAACTGTTAAGCTGCTCACGTCTCCTATCGAAGAATGGGAACACTGAAAAGTAGGGGCATTTATTTTTAGAGCAAAAAGACTATTGGAGAGCCTCTAAAAACCCTGCACCTATTTCATGGGTGAGTTACTTAAGACATCAGCTTTATAGCCTCTATGAGTCTATCTTCTGTATAAGTTTTGTAATATTTAACACAAGGCTTAATGGGAGCTGTTCTTTTGTCTTGTATTCAGATATTGCCACCTAAAGCAATAACCATCAGAAAACACAGAACTTGTCAATGCTAGCTCTTAAGTTTTGAGTGTCTGTGGCTCTCGGAATGATTGACTTAATTGAGTGACTGCCATTAAGATTTTCCAAGGAGTAACTCGTCCTAAATTTTTGTTGTACTACCAAAAAACAAGATTCCATATCAGAATTTGGAATAGAATGTGATCTGTATTGCGACAAGTAATTTTAAAAGAAAGCTACGTTTATTTTAGAGTAGTGTTCCTAATATGTATTGTCAATACCAACTTTGTGGATTACATTGGAAGAAGATTGAAACTGGGGCCTTGAATATTTACTTTTTGAAACCACCATGTTAAATATTGAAGTATAATTTGAGGGAATTATAAAGTCACAAACATTGATCTGATTATTTTCAAAAATAACTGTGAACATACTGGAGGTGAGTCAAATTGAATTCATACAGTAACATGCAAGTCCTAGTACTCAGCCTGGAGTGAAAATCCTGGGTACTAACTTTCAGAGGCGTTAGTGTGTGTGTTGTCAAAGTTTCTGAACACAGTTCACATAGCCTTATTAGCAGAAGTTTAAGAAATGGCTCTATCAAAGAAGCAATTACAGCTTTATTCAGAAATGTAAAGGTGGAATTTATGTACATGTCTTAAGTGGTACCCACGTCCCTTTTTACTGTAGGGTGGAGAACTTAGGATTTAACTCTTTGAATATTACCTCTTGAATAAAACTTGCGTTAATGTTAACAAACCTACTTAATTTTTGCTCTTTCAAAGACTTACGGTGGAGAGCCAGTACATCTTAACTACTGTTGTAGTGATGGCATCAACCTCGCGGTTACTTACCCCTGCATTTGTTGCTTTGTTTTCTTTCCCACTTCAGATCACAAAATAATTAAGTAGATTTTGTTTTCTGAAAACTCCATAGCACTTGAATATAAAAAGTTGTGCCAGAATTGTTCGTTCTAATTTCGTGTATTTTTAACAAATATTTAACTATGAGGCACTGTGGAAAGTGTTGAGGGGTAGACAAAATACTGAATAATCTTCACAAGTTTATGGTCTATAGTAGTTTTGTAATTGGGGTTACAAAAATTATAGAATCTTTTTTCCTTTATTCATATGCATATTAACGATTATAGTTAATTCGGCTTTGTGATTAATGTTTTCTTAAGATTTTCACATTACAGAATACCTCAAAAGAAGTTGTCTAAGGATTGGGATAGAGAGTATATTTCATAAGATGGTAGATGTTTAGAATTAAAAAACACTACAAATTAGTGTATGATTGTTTTATCTAAGTCAGATAGGAGCAACACTTGATCACTTTATTCGTGGGAGAATATGGCATTAAAGGTGATTTTAGAAGAGGAAATTTTGGAGTTTTAGAAAATTAAAATACTGTCAGGTATGCAATTCTGGGCTTCCAATCCTGGTCTTGTTGTCTCCTCACCTGTGATGTGGGGTGAGTTATTACACTTGAAACCTCTAATCCTTAGGTTCCACAACTGTGAAAACAAGTAACAGTATCCTTTCTAGCCTTTAAGATTTCCATGTAAGTAATTATAATGACTTCTGACACATAATAAGCAGTCAAATATTTGTCGTCTTATACCCTAAGAGTAGGAAAAAATGCAGAATTCAGTATTAAAGTATTGTTACCTTTTAACACAGTGTTCCCCAACCTTTTTGACACCAGAGACGTTTCCTGGAAGACAGTTTTTCCATGGGATGGGGGGATGGTTTTGGGATGAAACTCTTCTACGTCAGGTCATCAGGCATTGGTTAGATTCTTGTAAGGAGCATGCAACCTAGATCCTTTGCATATGCAGGTCACAATAGGGTTCATGCTCCTATGAGAATCTGATGCCACCACTAATCTGACCAGAGGCAGAGCTCAGGCAGAAAGGCTCCCTCGCCCGCCACTCACCTGCTGGGTGGTCCTGTTTCTAACAGGCCAGAGTTGATACTGACCTAGGGATTGGGAACCTCTGCTTTAATATGTTATTAAATAGAGAAAGACCTAAGCTTTTACTTTTGTGATTGACACTTGCTTCAATAATGTAACTTTATTCTGTGTTTTTGTCATTTATTAACAAATTTCTTTTTTCTTAAGGGAAGTCTCCAAAATCAAAGCAAAGTGAGTTACAATCCATAATGAATATTTGCCTTACCAGCCTACTGGAACACACTCCTCAAGAAGTTAAGAGGAAGAAAGTTTTCTACCTTCCTCCTTCCTGGTGCTTGCAGCTGTCAACTTCGAAATAAGTTTAAACAACACCTACTGAAAACAAAAACCAATTAGTATAAAAATATCCCCCACCAGAATTGGGTCCCCCATACCATTCCTACGAAAGAGTTCTGGGGTGGATCAAAGTCTTACAGATCAGCTTACCCCTTCTTGTTTGGGCCGGTTCTAGGAGAAATAGCTATAATACAAAAACTGAACGATGGAATCCCTAAAGCCATATAACGTTATTTAGCAGGGATGGCTACAGTATGCTTTCCATGGGTACTTAAACACTCAGTTTTTCCTAGTGTACCAACGCTTTATACGTTGTCCCTATAGTCTTTGTACTTTTAACTTTGATGACCATTTAACTTGAGGATCATCTGAATATGTGCAGTACTATTTGTCATTTGTATTTTTATCATTTAACATTTTAAATGAGTGTTTAATTTGTTGGGTAAGGTAATGCCAAGGGAGTGATGCTAAAAACAGATAGGAAGTTAGTAAAAGATTAAAGTTAAAATTTATGATATGAGAACTTCTAAAGTATAGGAAAGGAGGCAAATGGCCCTGAAGTGTTTTCTCAGAAGGCACAAGCTTTACATCAGTCTGAAGACATGCAGATCTCACGTTTCAGTTTAGTTACTGAAAGGACTGACATTTTCTGGTGGTATTGACACACTGCCTATTTGCTCCAAGCCATTTTAGGCTCAGAATGACTCTTAAGTTCTTCTCATGTGTATAAAGCATTCTAGAATCGGCAAACAACATGGTAAGAGGCAGTACCAACATGGAATTCCCCCAAACAAGTCCCCTCTAACCTTCCTGAGCTTACTTGCCCTATTACTAATATATATATATATATATATATATATATATATATATATATATATATATGATCTTCTGTTCCTTCTCTTTGTTTTATCCCTTACCTGATAAGAGTCTGAACATTTCTAGTGGAGAAAGAAGATCATAGTTCTCTAGTATGGGCAGTAAGAGGGGTACAGGTTGGGGTAGGGGTAGAGTGGTAGGCTGCCTCCACTGAGGTTGAAAACTTGTGTGCCTAGGTTTCAGCCAGTGATTACACTGGGTAATTAACCAGTCCCATATTTCACAAAGGAGTTTTAATGATTAACAGTTCAGGTATGTTTCTGAGGAAATCTAATTGTGACCTTTGGGAAATAGCACTGTTACGAATGGTGTGGTTTACGCCCTGAGGGAGAAGCTAGAAAAACATTTTACTTTTCAGGTATATTTAAATTGTATCCAAATGTCTCAGAGTTTGCTTTACTGGGAACTTCCTGAGTTTGGAGTTCAAATATTGTAACCAAATTACCCCAAGTTTCTGAACTAAAATGATCTTTTGTTGTTTCTCGAAGTATAGATCACAGAGTAAGAAAAGGGGAAATCAAGTCTGGTTTATGACCAGCTTTTTTCCATGTTAACATTAGACCTAGAGATATTACTAAGAGATTTTACTGTGAGATAACCAGTGTGATGTGAAGACAAACATTTTAAGAAGTTTGACTAGTGGACATTTCGTTTAAGGCTTTTGGAAGGTCTTGATCCACAACTCAGTTTTATTGCTGCTCCCCAGGCTTTGCAAACATGTCAACCCAAGGCTTGGGTGATCATTGTTGACCTATAAAAGCGCAGGTCTCTTGAGAGTTTATTGACACACCACTGGTCACACCCCCACAATATGTCTCCACCTCTGTTGAAGGGCTAGTGACATTTTAAAAAATCTGTTATTTCCAATCAGAAATTTAAGTACGTTTTATGTGTTTCATTCCATCAAAATTTATGCTTCTCAGCGCAGAGTAGTCTAGTTTCTTGGTGTGTATATTAAACACATTGAATAAAATTCTTAATAATTTAGAAACCATGTACATGAGACTTCCCAGGAACTTGTCAAAAGTATGTATGGCACCTCTGCACCAATAACATTAGTGTACGTTTGGGAGACCTGCACTTGAAACCCTGAAGTTGCTTGCCTCCTGGCCTTGCACTCTCCCTTTGTACTGAAATTATATATATGTTTTCTCAGTTTCTTTTACCTTTTTGAGGCTGATACATGTTGAAGTTTTAGGTTATAAAACAAATTGTACTTAATGTGGCTCCAGAGGGCAAAATTGTTGGATAAAGAATATAGCCCCAAGCAGAATAAGAGGTTCAGCATGGCCTCTGGATGTGGGCATTGCAAATTTTGAATTAGGTTCAAATAAAATTACTTGAATTATACATCAATGCTAAGATCAGATATTAATAGGGAGGTCACATGACTTTCTTTGAGCCTATAAAGATAAAATGCTTTTTTTGCCCTAAGTTTTTGAAAATTAGAGTTTATTGTTGCTCATCTCAGCAAATTCATGTTTTCAGCATCCTCTGCCTTCCTCCTGTCCCTCAGTTTCCTACTTTATTATATGAAAGAAGGCTGGCCAAATTGAAAAGTAGCTCAGTTGGAGAGCTGAAAAATACTTGAAAATACAGAAACCACCCTTCATCTTCCACATAAAGATCTCAGTCCTGTTCGGTACAGAGAGGCAACTACGATGAATATTTTCTACACGTAACATGGAAAGCATGATTTGAGTGCCATGTTTTTCTAATCTTCACTAAATGTTTGTAGCCCTGGTAGGAAACAAACTTCTGACCCAAGTTGCCAGGCTACTTGAATAAAAACAAGGTAGTCAGTACAACTAGTGCCATCTACTGGGTCATTACTGCATAGTTTCTGTCTGTTCAGAAATCTGGCTTAGTTTAACACGTGGGGGAAACAGAACTATTCCATTGAAAGTCATTTTTGCCTGATAGTGTAAGCATGATACGGAAAATCATTAAGGGGCAGTTGGGCCATTTGTTTAGTTCTAGTTTATAAACAATCAACACTGACATTAAATTTCAGTTAAGTAGATTAAACCCTGAACTGCCCCTAAAGCTATCAGAAATAGGGGAAAGGTTGCCAAGTTTTGTATTCTCATTACATTTGTCAATATTGTTGGTGAGAAGTGTAAACTGTTAAAAATGCCTTTGGTGAGTGGTGGTTTGGTAAAAACAATTGAAGTAGAACACGACACTGCCCTTAAAAATTTTATTTCCTTACCCAACGGTATTACGTAAAATCCTGGCCAAATGACTGCTGCTGTTGTAGTTATGTTGAGCTTCACAGAACATAACGTATTTTAAATGCCAGAATGTGCTTCAGTGAAAAAGAACATGGTTTTGGGCTGAGGAGATCTTGGGTTGAGTCCTGATTTTATTATTTACTGGCCTCAGGACCGTGAACCTTGTTATAAAATGATAGTGGGTCTATGTACTCGTATTGTTAGGAGGACGGTGTGACCTAATGTATGCAAAATATCTGCTCCATATCTAAGGCTCAACGAATGTTAAGCCCTTTCTCCATCAGCATAGGAAATAAGAAAATACTGTTCATTTCTCCATGTCATTATTAGAAAACAATCTTCTATAATTTAAAATCTGAAATATTAAGCAATATATATGAATTATTACAATTATGTTCTT